CTCCTCCTCCTCCTCCTCCTCCTCCTCCTCCTCCCTCTTTTTCTTCTGCTCCTCGACGGATGCGGTATCAAGGCGCTTTACGTAAGCCCGGCGCCGAAGCTCAAGAAATTCCTATTGGGCGGAAACATCGCAAAGGGTACTTGAGGAGATATCATGAAGGATAATCACTCGTCACAAATCATGGAAGCGGGTTCCTAGAAGAGATGAGGTAATTTGGGAAACTCTCCTACCTCGCGTCTCCTCAGATTGGCTTCTTCCTCTGATAATTTTGTCAGAATTCGCAAGATCTCGCTCTCAAGTTGGAGAAGTAATAAAGCCTTCGAGAAGAAAGGGCGTATACTCGCATATAAATATGAGGACAAGAAAAAAACACGGGGGAATGCTTGATCTACCTGATGCTGCAAGTCTCTGTGCATTTCTTTCTTTTGAGCGATCGACATTTCGTCAACAGCGTCTTCGAAAGTCGTCCTATACCTGATTTGTGTAGAATTGATTTTTTGGGTTGCTAAACGACTTAAAACATAGCCAAAAGTGAGAGAATGTCAGTCGGCCCATGACCATAGTAGCATGGTGCACTGTTCTGCGAATCCTACAGCCTTATCACCTACCTTTCCCGCAGTGACTGGCTCACGTTTCCCATGGCTTACGATGCATACGATCGCGCAGAGCTGGCTTTCCGTGCTGGTTTGGGAATAAATTTGCTTGCCTGAATGGAAGTTAGTGCAATCAGAGTCGCGCCTCGGCGAGAGCGAAATGATGGTCGTCATCGTCTGGGACACCTGGACACAGCTTTTGCTTCACTCACAGCTGGCCTCAACCACTCGCAATAATCTCCCAGGGATGAAGCACAGCCAACACTGGCGCGGGGAAGGGAATCTCTTTGTCGCGCGGCAAGTGGCCGCTGAAGGGATCACAGACGCGGAGGGCTTGGGGGGCCGAAGCAGCGCGCGGCGGAGGGGGAGGTTCTCATCTACACGCGTGACGGGATTATCGTCGGCGTCGCTCGTGCAAGTGGCTGTTGGAGTCATTTTGATTATATCGACTGCGGGAGCCGTCTCCTCTCATCCTCCATGGACAGACTCAAGCCCCTTCCAAATCCTGTCGGAGTGGCTCGACCGCAGCGCTGACTCGGACCTCAAGGGCGCCGGCCCGCCCAATATCGAGCGGGCTTTCAAAGTGAGTGGGCATATTAAATTTATGTGCTTCAATTTTTGGGGGTATTGGTTGAACTTCGAGCTGCAGCATCGAGGCAAAGCTGTCGTACGATGCTGTCGCATCGGCGTGCCATGGTTTGAACGTCTGCCCGGTTGTTTCCTCCTCTCTCGGCCAAGGCTTTTGCGGCACCGGCATCTCGACTCACCTCTTCCTCTTGTTCTTTGTGCTTTCTACTGGACGCTGTCAGGTGGTGGCATCTTCCCAGCAAGCCCTCAAGACCATGGACGGGGCAGCGCACAGCCTCTACGCTTACAGCCACCCTCGGCCCCCGGTCACGGCCTGGAGCCGGCTGGAGTACAGCCGGGCCAGCAAGGCTGAGAAAGAGATGCGGCTCAAGGCATTCCGCAAGGCCAAACTTCTGGAGGAGGCGGTGTATAGCTCGGAACTAGCGGAGCTGTCGGCGGACGGAGTGGGCCGAAGAGAGGCCTTGACGATGGTATCAGAGCTGCAGAGCACTCAGGAGGTGTTGGCGGAGGACTTTCTATCGGTGGAAGGGGGAACGTTCCGCTTCCTTCTGCTTGTGGACCGAGACAGCCGGAGACTGACGCTCTCCGTGGGTGACTCCCTGACATGGGCCCAGAGGCTCGATGTCCTGCGAGCGCCCTCCCTGACGGTGCCCTTGCGTCCGCGAGGCCTCCTGCGCCGATCCATGATGGTGAATCCACGCCTATGGGCGGCGGCAGTTACTGTCATCGAGCGTGTCAAAGCGGTCCTGACCACCGCTCTAAGGGAGACTTGCCCCGGCTACGCGCTTCATGTCGTGGGGTTCTCGCTGGGCGGCAGTGTGGGCGCTCTAGTGGCAGGCGTTTTGGACGGGTCTATTTTTGTGGAGGGCGCTGTGCCCGCGCCACCGACGAGGCGCAGTCACACGCGGCGGGGGCGAGGGGCCCGAGCAGGAGTGGCCGTGCCCGACGAGGGGGAGGCAGAGGGGCAGGACGGGGCCAAGGAGGCCTCGATCTCTCCCGCGCCTTCGCCGGCTCCCACTTCACCGACGTCTTCGTGGCCCCAGGCGCTGCGAGGAGCGACGGGCCTGGTAAGTGAGTGGCGTTCGGGTCCTCCAGGTTCGTCGTCTGTCTCTGATGGCTTGGTCTGTCCTACCACCCCGCCTACTCTCAGGCTCACGACAACGTGACTGCTTTCGTGTTCGCCCCCTCGCCCTGCATTTCCAAAAATATCCGAGGCCTGCGCCGCTTCACGACATCCTTCATACTGGGTGAGTCGGGGCTCACATGATGACCGTACATGAGGCGTCCCTTGCATGCACGCTCCCTCTGCCCTTCTCACGTGCATCCCTTTTGGCGTCGGTTGCTGGTTCTGGACGCTCACGCAGGCGACGATATGATGCCTCGGGCCACGGCCCTTTCCATCAAGCGCCTTGAAAAGCGACTCTTAGACTATGTCTCGGAAGGGGACGCCACAGGCATCTACTTCGACTATGCCAGGTATGAAGGCCGGTAGAATGTGGGAAGTGCGCGATTGTTGGCTTCAAAACAGTACTCTGTTTGGATGGCCATTGTCTTGAAGGGCTTTAAAAACCCTCGCCATCCGCACGTTGATTCGGGTGTAACAGGAGTTGGATGAAGGGCGTCGTGGGAGCAACTCTACAACAGGTAGTGACGCACCAAGTCACCAAAAAGGAAGAAGAAGAGGACGAGGGGGGGATGGAGGCGCTTACATTACCCGGTAGGGTCTACTACATCAAGCCCCGAAAGCTTCACGGCGGTGCGACAATCAAGGAGGTGTGTAACATGCACCAGAGCGATCTGAAGAATCTGGGCCCATGTCCACATTTATTTGTGTCTGCACCTCCACTAAACCTCTTTGACGAAGAAAACATTCTAACAACTACATCAGGTTATGCGAGGTAATCTTCGCGAGGACGTACTATGGCAAATTCACGACATATTTGTCTCGCAAAGCATGCTGAAGCACCATTCACTCGACAAGTACATAACCGTCTTGGCAAGAATACCAGTCTAGAAGTGGAAAGCACACTTTGTACATGAACATGAGAGAAATTTAGAAAAAGAAAGTGAATGGACATATTCGAAAGAAATCTTATTTCTTTTTCGCTCTTGCCGGCAGCATTTCCCCCTCTCGGCTGGGTCCGTATGATGGGAAAGGCCCCCTCGCTTGTCACCGGTTTGGACGGGTTTCGACATGTGCGGTCTCCCCGGATCCAGACCATGGCGAAGTAAGCAAGCACCAAATGTTCAGTCGTATAGCAAAATTGTGCAGCCCAACGACCAATAGATTGAAAAAATTGGTCTGGGTGGAATGTATATCTATGTGACTATTATTCGACTTCCATTGATTACCTTGCAACGCCCGATCCGACCGTCGCTACGCTGTCTGACAACCTCGCAATTCACATTTCCCAAAGCAAAAAAACTGAAGCTTTGTCAAGCCATGAAAATCTTCAGCTCCCTCCTTTTGGCCTCACTGGTCACAACTTGCTCTGCATTCGTGCCGCTCAATCAGGTAAGCGCGTAAGATGCTCAAAAGCATACATTCATTATCTCATCTCTTTTATCACGCCTCTTTTTTTGGAAACATGCTCGAAAAGGTGCTCAATGCGACACCTATTAAAACGCGAGGTCGCTTCGCAGCCTTAAAGATGGTCAGCCGCGCGGAAAAGGAGAACCCGTACATGGAGGAGCTGAAGGCTAATGCACGTAAGATTGGCGGCCGCGGCCGAGGGATACTTGCCAGTGACGAAAGTAATGCGACGACAGGCAAACGTCTGGAGGCTGTCGGAGTCGAGAATACCGAAGAGAACCGCCGAAAGTGGCGCGAACTTCTGTACACTGCCCCAGGTCTGGGCCAGTACATTTCGGGGGCCATCATGTTTGATGAGACGCTTTACCAGAAGACGGCGGAGGGCAAGCCGTTCGTGGACGTCCTCGCCGAGCAGAACATTATTCCTGGCATTAAGGTTGACACAGGCTTGCAAAACATGTTCGGTACGGATGGAGAGACAGCCACACAAGGATTGGACGGTCTCGGAGACCGTTGTAAGGCTTATTACAAGCAGGGGGCCCGTTTCGGTAGGTCCGGGTGGCAGAGGAGGTTGTTCGCCCGAGAATCATGTCGACGAGGATACTGACAAAATTGCTATTTCTGGCCATCAACAGCAAAATGGCGCGCGGTCCTCAAAGTGGACGACCGAGATCTGCCGAGCGAGAAAGCGATCTGGGAAAACGCGCATGCTTTGGCCAGGTATGCTGCCATAGCCCAAGAAAACGGGTTGGTTCCCATCGTGGAGCCGGAGGTCACGCTGGGCCCGGGGGCGTACTCGATCGAGCGGACCGCCTTCATTTCAGAGCGTGTGAACTCCATCGTCATGAACTGGCTCAATCGCTACGATGTCGTGCTCGACGCCATCCTGCTCAAGCCTAATATGATCTTGCCCGGCCTTGACGCACCCATCGCTTCCAAAGAGGAGGTGGCCAAATACACTGTGCAGGTCATGAAACGAAGTATTCCTCCTGCTGTGCCATCGATCCACTTCTTAAGCGGGGGTATGGGTGAGGAAGAGGCGACCCTTAATTTGCAACAGCTCCAAAAAGAATACCCGGATGCTCCTTGGAGCTTGACTTTCTCCTATGGCCGGGCCCTCCAATCGTCCACCCTCAAGACCTGGTCAGGCAAGCAGGAGAACTGGAAGGCCGCACAAGATATCCTCGTCAAGCTCGCACAGGCCAACAGCCAAGCTCAGCTCGGACAATTCGTGGAAGGCACGCACCCGTCTCCGGGCGGCGGGCGCATTCTGCAGGCTTTGCGCCTCGGGGGCGCCGGGAAGTGATGGAAAAAATGCTCCGGTCTTCATCTCCATCTTGAGATTCGTGTTAGGTGGATGTATGCGACTGATGTAAGGAGGATGAGGTGACCACTAGGGGACAGGCCCCCTCACGCAGAAGTAGGCAGGCCGTTGAAGTGGACGTGAGCATCGCACAAAGAAAGAAGTCGCAAAAGCGTCCGAGATGCAAGTAATGCACGGTTTTTTCATCTTCTTCGTATGTCTCGTGCAATAAGGTTTTTGCGATGGAAAATAGGTTCGCCCTTCTCTACATGTCATACGAATATAGTCAAGGGATCTCCCACAGAGAGGAAGCTCGCCTTTTTCGGAGAATCGTGCAGTAGGTTTTGTCCGAAATAAACCTCATTCTTGCCACCAATGTCGATGCCCAGCAAAGCCCCGGTCCTGTTATGGTACGCATGAGAATCTCTGAAACGCCATCCTGGTCGACCGTGGCCGCCTCCACTGGGCGCTTCCCTCAAATTCATCGATATCTCCGCCCTCCCCTGGTCCACTCAAGCCCCTCAATCTCCGCGTACCTGAATGTTTTAAGTGTGTTACCGGGCTCAACCCCCACCTCGGCAGTCTCGATGTCTGTGTTGGGGACCTTGCAACGCGAGCAGGGCTTCACAACGCGGAGACGCAGATCGCCGATTTTGATCTTGCCCCAACCATCTTCGGCAAAAGCGGGAGGGCCACTCACGACGATGCTGTAAAGGGAATACAATCGATGAATTTGTAGCGGTTCATAACATTAGCATGCATCATATGCACGAGTAGTTTGCTCGACCTAAAAGGACGCACTTTGGACGGAATCGTGCCATGGGAAGCGGCGATGCCAGCCGAGAGTTCAAGTCGTCAAGGGAGGCTTGATTTGTCATAAGGAAAGGAAACCCATCGGCAAAACCTGCAACAGGGAGGGGAAGACGGAGGGGAATGACGACACGACGTCTGAAGAGGACGAGCTCTCTGAGACATACCAGTGATGGCGCCGCGCGTCGCAAAAGCAAGGTCAACCTGTCGGCGCTCTTTCTCATCGATGCGTACGAGTCTCAAACCCTCCTACATATAGAATTTATAGAATAGATAGGGCAGGCAGTGTTGAGCGAGGCCGGAGAAAGCTCAAAACGCTTCTAAATTTGCACATTGTTTCACGTACCTCCTCCAAGAATTTAGTCAACCACCCAGCAATGTCATCGCCTTGATCATAGCCTTGACATGTATCCCCCCATACTCGCACGCTCATTCGTTTGCCAGACGTCTTGACAGGAACCACACACGTTGGCATGCCGGGCGCATTCATCTCCAAAGGCTGAAGGATAATGATGTTTTTGGATAAATTTATTAACCCCAACAAAAATGTGGCTGGATAAGCACGAAGGCCGGATGACACGTTTGCCATCTTACCGCAGAGAATGATGAGGGTAGATTTGGCTGGATCAGGGCCATTTTTGGAAGTTGTCGCTGTGACCGGAAAGCCCCTGTCGAAGTCACGACCATCCAGAGGCGGTCCATCACTAGGCCCCTGGCCTCAACCAGGGAGGCTTCTACGTCAATCCCACGGCAAGATTTTACAGGGTAGATATGTAGCGATACAACTCGTCCAGCTTCTTCTCCCTGCTTGTACTGGCATTCAGTAAGAGGTGAAATTGAGCTTGAGGACTAGCACAACAGCCATATTATGTGCCTTAAAGTTTCAGTCACGATAAGTCTTACCTTCCAGACAATCCTTGAATTTCCTTTATAAGCCACATATATAATGCCTCCAGTTGCTGCGGCTAGTAAAGCCCACACGCCTATGTTGTGCTCCATATGAGTTGTAATTCACCCTCAAGGCCTGCTCCTGCCGGTGTTCTGAATGGGGCGGGATGTTGGAAGACGCACAGAGCGTTACGGGGAATAAACAATTTTTATTCTTCTTCGAGTACCGAGTAGAAGTGGAAAAAAGGAAAGCAACCGCGCGTACATTACCCCGCGAAGCCCATCAGTACAGATTAAGGTGCGACAGTCAGGGGTAAATCAGCCCGTCGGGATGGCATCGTCTGGGGCTTACCTTGAAGTTCGCGACGCGTCCGAAGCCGGGGGGGGGAGAGGAACATCGGCGCCGCTTCTCTGTACGGCGGGAATTGCGGATAAAGTTACAGCTTTATGGTAAGAAAAGAATCATGAAGTGTATCTTGTCAGTTTATATCGTTTATTTCTTGTCATGTTACAGTCATGACAGTTACTTGCCGTGCCTGGATCTCTTCAGAGCAAAAAGCGAGCATGAGAAAAAACGCAAAAATAAAGCAAACGACGAAAGCATATGATAATAGTAAACTTGAAAATCTAATAAATTACGCATGCGCATTTCTTCAATCCTTGCATACCTTGCCCCAAGATCATCCTCAAAAGAGCACGCGCACTTTGTCGTCTCCGTGTTACGTTGACCCTGATCGCGATATGCTATGCTATTTAGCTCAAAGCTACTTTAACCTTTTGAAAGAAATTTTATGCCACATAGCACAGAAACTTCCCTACTTATTGCCGTTGTCATCCGACGACAAACTTCGATGACCCCTCTTTATTTCTAGGTGAGCAAGAGATTCCTGCGCCTTCACGTAGCCGTAACATCCATAGCCGCCTTGTCCTTCTTCTTCTTCTTCTTCTTTTGGTTTGTCTTTGAGGATGTCGCTAGAATTGCTTTGATGTCTTCAGGCAATTCTTTGTCAGACACAAAGCCAACAGTGCTGTACGGCAAGCCTGTAACCTTGGCCGTTCCCGATGGCAGGAGCAGAATCGTGGCCTTAAAGTGAACGACAATATCTCCTGGTCTCTCCATCAAAACCTGTGTTTGTGAAGAATGGCGGGCACATTTGAAGGGCGAAAGAAGGAACAAGGCAGCTTCTTTTTCACAGCCCTGACTTTTCCTGATATTACATGTTATGTTCCACGCGCCTACGGCCCTCTTCCAAACTCACCGGGTAAGGATGCAGGAGATCGTGCTTTAAGCACTCTACAACACCCATACGCGCCTGCTTCTCGTCCTCAAGTGCCCGTAGCGTGAAGGGCAGCGTAGGGAATCGATGGTTCATTTCGTTGAAGACATACCTGTCATTGTGCGGGGTGTCAGCTTGTGCAGGCCTCTACATCCAAGCCCAATTCGTTCCATAACACCTTCTTGCACGCGTTCCGTGACGCTTTTTACCTGCTTGCTTTCATTTTCAGTCGGTAGCTGACATCCACGGCCCGTTTGAACACAGTCGTTCGGCTTGTTGCCTCGCGGGGTTTGCCTGCGAAAGAGTGTTCGGAGGGTAGGAGGGGAGGGTGTGAGTGAATGAGAGCCGAAAAGTCAGCTCGAGAATGACGGCCAATCGCAAAAACATAAGCGTCCAGGCAGAGCCAGACAAGGTTAAGTACGTGCAGTAACGCCCAGTCGCTGCACTCCAGGTGGAGGTAGGGCAAGGACCAGGGTGTGTCCAGCGCGCCAGCGAACCCGATTTCAGGGGCCTCCGAGAGAGGCCTCATGCAGGATTACCAAATGCGCGCCAGTGACGGAGACCGTCAAGCGATCTTCGAGGCTAGGGAAGGCTGTAGATACTCATGCGTCTTCGGACGCGGGGCCCGAAAACTGAGCTGCCAGAAGGAGCCTCGCGACAAGGGGTCTCCCGCACAACACAACGCGGCAGAATCTCGTACCCACACGCACCTTCGCCGGAGCTGAAGGCAACGTCCACGGAGTAGATCTCCCCCTGCTCGAAGACGACGTCGTCCACTTTTTGGTCCACATCCTCGCGGAGGATGATTACCTTGTTCCCGTCGATAATGTACCTTGGGTGGGGGGGTAAAGGGGAGGGCGCGTGAGGATGGCGGGGGCGGAAAGACGGCAGTGGCAAAGTCTGAACGAGGAAGTCAAACCGAAACAGTCTCCTCCTCTCTGCCCTTTCAGGCCCTCCTAGAACGCGCACCGCTTCATTTGATGCATCAAGGTTCCCTGCATGGCGTTCACTCCGAAAGCCTCGGCCACCCGGGCCATGGCCTCCGTGACTTGTTTGTTGCTGTTTCCGGGCTTGATAAGTTTGATCGCCACCTCCGACGCCGTCAAGGCTGCGAGGAAGACGTCTGCCACTGGGCCCTTGATGGGCTCCTCGGCGGTTGGTGCGGGTCCTGGACGGCCGTGCATGCATGTGTGTCGGGTAACGAGGGGGTGAGGGTAGAAAAAGGAGACCAAGTAAAGATAGCACAAATCCTCCAGCTCTTCCCATGGTCTTCTTGCGTCCCAACCACGTACCGACGCGAACCGTATGGGCCACAACGGAGACGAAACCGTCGATGTGCACACCCAGGTCGACTTTGACCAGGTCGCCCTCCTTCAAGGGCTCTTGCGCCTCCGATGCAAGCGGAGAGTTGTGGCATACGCACTCGTTGATAGAAACACAGGTTGGGAAAGCGACACCTTTCTCAATGGTACGGCCTTTTACCTTCTTGGTAAAAATCTTCTTACACTTCTCCTCGATCACCTCGTCTCCTGCCTGACTGAGCTCTAAAGGGGTCTTGCCAACCTCTACCTTTGACAGGACAACGTCAAGCGCTACATTAGCAATTTTCGCAGCCTCCTGATACTTGGTGCTGACGTCCGCGTTCGCGAGCGTGTCGTCGGCGTCCTCCTCCTCCTCCCCAAGGGCCTTCTTCACGTTAAGATCATCTCCAGACTCTGAGCTTGACATGGCCTCCTGCTGACAAGGCCCGGCGCTGAGTGTTCAGTCGAAGTCGGCCTATGTGAAGAAGACAGGGCGATAAGAGTGTGAGTGTGGTGATCGGAGACAGCTCACTGCGACATCCCATCACCGGGAAGTTTTCCATATTATTTCGCAACCGTGATCAATACCACCCTCTCAGATGAAGAGCATCGGTCAGACCGCTAGGTCTGCCATATGTTGTGTCCGATGATCGTGCTTTCGTGGCATAATTTGCACTTCTTGGCAGCGGAAACTTTCTACTCGCCAGACAACAAGTACGGAACCCCTCCATGGTGGCGGATAACACGACCGACTGACAACACAACCGACGAGAGGTTCTCCGTTTCCATAAATCTGGCATCATATTTCATCTTGTAAGTTCAGATAAATGCCATCTTGACAAAAAGTGCGCAGGGGTGGAAGTGAAAGGGCCCAAAACGTGGAAGCACCTCCCGCTACACAATGAGGGAAAAGCGCGCCGGGATCAACCATTGCTCGCAGAATTCTGGGTCCGATGGAAGCTTGAGAATGATTTTCCGCTGCAAGTCCCATGAATCAACTGAGAACGAATGAGTTGGAGAACATGTATGTGGTCAGGGGCTGATATCAACAAGTTCCCACGGAAAGAGTGCCACGGTGTGGCGGCGAAAAGCCCATTGCTGCTCCTCAAGCATCCCCCACCTGCACTTCCGTAGGCATGAAGGGCCCTTTAAAATCAAGCACAAACGTATTGGAGACGAGGAGGTTTTTTGCTGCTTGCGGGCCCGCTCAAAAGCCCATGGAAGAGACCCCCGAGTCTTGAGGCGGACGTGCGGCCAGCGGCCCCTGTCTGCCCCTTTCTCGGCGAGTGAAGATACCATCACCCGCCCCCGGCCCGCTAATGAGGCAGCCGCCCGGCAGGGATCTTTGCCGCGTTAGGGACATCCATCATTGTCATTTTGTGGATTGACGTCGTGTACGAGAAGCGGGTTCGTGGGATCGATGGCAAGCCAGCTTCCTGCGGCTGCGTGGTTGCGCTTATCGTCATCAATCTGGGGTTAGGCGGGCGTCACAGCAGCACCCTACCTTTTTGTCAAACCGAGATTCCCAGATACCGTTGCCACGTAATCTTGAAATAGAACATGGCCTAATGTCCAATTTTGCTTCAAAACACCCCTTGTTGACTTTCCCCATCCGAGCAGCAGCACTAGATCGAGGAGCACTTCAACAGGCACCCGGACAGGATGGGCAGCCAGACAGTGGAATCCCCCCGACAGCTGGTGGGTGCAGCCATTCAAGAGTTTTTTGGTGCCCTTCTCATGTTTTTGGTGCTGTGGCCATTTGTGGGTGTTTTGGGGGACACTTGGACTGCCTGGGTGGCTCACTTTTTCTTCGTAATGCTGGTAAGGGCGAAAGGACCTTGTCGGGGAGGAAAATAGAAGGCAGGTTGCGAGATGTCAGGGCACGTCCGTCTTAAGCCTTATTTACTCTCCGAAGAGAAATACCATCCGTTACAGTGCCGTCAATCGGAAGCATGGCATATTGTTGATAAAGCTACAAGGATGTGAAGGAAGGCAATCCCACACCCTTTATTCCTACTCCCTTAGTGCGACATCGTTTCAGGTGGATCCCAAGTCAATCCCAGCGTGTCAGTGGCTATGTTCGTGCATGGAGCCATTTCTTTTCCCGGCGCCATCGTCCGAATCCTTGCACAGCTGGCAGCGGGCGTGGTCGCCTACCCCCTCCTCCAAAAACTCAGCCCCAGCTACGTCGGTGTGGGGGGACCCTGTTTGCAGGACGGCGTCAGCACCACCACTGGGGCCTTGGCAGAGTTCACCTTGACATTTGCCCTCCTGACGTTGATTTATCTCGCCATCACCATCATCGGTGCCCCCGGTCAGGTACGGGTTGGAGATTCCCGAGTCATTGCCAAGATTTTCTACGTAACAAGCTCTCGTCTTTACTCCATGATCAAAACACACAGCGCCCGATTATTGCAGCAGGAATTCGGTGCCTTATCGTCGCAGGCACTCCTTACACTGGCCCTGCTATGAATCCGATGATTGCCTTCGGATGGGCTGTGCAGAGCGACGCCTACAAGGTCAGCGTTCTGTAACTGCCCCTCACATTACCAATTCGGGCCATGCGTTTTTTGAGGCTTATGCGTTCTCTCCTTTCCTTTCAGACATTCGACCACTATCTGGTTTATTGGATCGCGCCGACTGTGGGTGCTGTGTTGGCGACAGTCCTGTTCGCTGTGTTTCAGGCCTCGTTTTTAGACGAAAGAAAGAAAAACAAAGCGGACTAAGTGTGGTGTGAAAAAGAGTGAGAGAATATTGCGGGTTGAACGCGGCGATGGCGAGCCTTTGAGGACTTCGGGATATATCTCGTCACCATCAGAGCCATATTGGCTCAGACCGGCAGCCCAATCGGAGTGCAATAGCTGCAGGTGGCGCCTGAAAATTCGTTATATATAGAGAGCGTGATAAATTTAAATGATGTAAGACGAAAGTCCACCATTGATACGCCAGTATGTTGATTTTTTTTTTACACGTCTGGGGTGAGACTTTCATCTCCGAGAGGGTTGAATCTTATGTGTCGTTACTGATCCGAAAGAAGGCTCCGAAAGGGTAGCAGGTCTTTTTTTCCTTTGTAACATAACGAGACTGTGAAATGGTTGTAGTGCGATGAATTGGGTGAACCAGGTCGAGAGAGCGCAAATGACAACCTAGGGACCAGGGGGCAGGGAATGGACGCGCCATAAAAGGTGCAGTGGTGCATTTTGATGGCAAGGTGCGCAACTTTTTTGCCCTTTCCAGCTTTGCGGCCATTTTACAGAGTTCCACAACGTTGTGGGTAAGAAACCAACGTGACCCCCTTCCTTTATTCACCGTATATTCACCATCAGTCATATACTTTCTGCTTCTAAGTGTCCACAGAATGTCACTTTTAACCGGAATCTCAACTTTGTCCAGCGCCTCGCCTCATCAGCCTCAGCTGAGGCTGGAGAGGCAGCTGGGGGTGTTGAGGCCACTCGCGCGGAGGACGATTACCGCGTTAACAGGTTTAACAAAGATTCCTGAAAACCCACAGCTATGGACAAGCGTAAGACCCATAGGTTGCGGAAGAAGCCCCTCTATGACATGTCGATAGAAGAAAAACACCTCAACGACATCTTCTGCTTGAAATGCGATGTCATGATTAGGAACGGCCCCTGTATTTCGGCCGAGTAAGGGTCCGTGTCAGTCATCTTGAGCTGCACCGAGCCAATACCGGTGTCTGTCGTTGATTCATCGCAGCGACTGTGGTGCCTTCTATGATGGTCCTTAACGTGGGAAAGCCCGCCGTTCCTGATCATGACATCGCATTTCATGCAGAAGATGTCGTTGAGGTCTTTTTCGTCATGTCATAGAAGGGGTTCTTCCGCAACATGGGTCTTGTGCTTGTACATAGCCGTGGGTTCTAAGGAATATTTGTTAATCCCATTTGCGCGGTAATCGTCCTCCGCGCGAGTGGCCTCAACAGCTGGGAAGGCACGCACCTTCGAAAAAGTGCGAAGGTGCGAAGGTGCAGGTGTGAAAAGGT